AATCTCGGGAAAACGATATATTTATTCAGTTACCGGTGATACACACTTCGAACCCAGTTTTAAAACGTTGAAAAATTATTCAAACAAATCGACCACTTCGGAAACATATTTTCTATATTTATTCAATCAATTGGCCCACCCCCAAAAATATTTATTTTTACATGGCCGAATTGATTGAGTTTTTACGGTAGATCATTTTCTGTTCACTGTGAGAATCAAGCGTTATGCATGAAATCGATTGTAAAAACAGGACAAACAAAGGTCATAGCGTCGTAGTGGCGTCAAGCATCGTATGGGATTCTACAAACACGAACATATTTTGGGGGACATTTCCATGCTTAATAATGTGCTGTACACATTTGATGATAGACAATTTCGATTAAAGCGTGGTAGTCATCGCAATGCGCATGTGCCACATTTGTGTTTCCCACAATCCAACGCTCTCTTCAAATGGAAATCACAAATATGAGGTTTGACCTGGGCGCGACTTGCACTGACTACAGCCGGTGATTCCTTCGATACCTCCCAATAACATGAAAATTACTTAATTAAAACTTGGAAACGTCTCAGTTGTACTCGTTGATCTGCGCAACAGTCAAAGTCGCCATCTGTGTTTATATGAGACCCATATATCTCGCACATGCGCAGTGCGACGACTACCGCGCTTTAAGTGAGGGTATTCAAAAGCAATATTCCTCTGTCGAAGAACGGCCGGTCGATGTGAGCTATGAAATAAGGAAATTCAAGTTCAAAATCAAATCAATGTTTGCGGCACGTACGACGCGCGTCTTTCATGCATCTCGCGAGATCTCACAGTTGAACGGAAAATCACCTATTGATATTTCCGAGTGGCAAGTACAGAGTATCTTTATTTTATTCCACAAAAAATTGTACCACAACTGAAAAGATCAAGACTTGTACTCTCAGCACAACAGAACCATTCTCTTCATCTTTATAAATATTTATAAAGTACAGCGTGTTGCAGTAGTAGCACATTTTCACTGGGTTAAATATTTGATACACTGGGCTTTAAAGAGCGGTGGTCGTCGTGCCATGTCCTGTTCAATATGAGACTCATATTGCATGTAAAATACTTTGTTTATTTACATGGGAATCAAACACACGCAGCGCGACAACCACCGCCCTTTAAATTTACTGGATGTACTGAAAACGATGCATTCTATTGTTAACTTTGAATTCACAGTAGGTTTAAATTTTGCACATTATCGAAATATGCAAAAATAAAAGCTTTATAGCATAGGGTAAAATCAAATTTTCAGTGAAATTCACCTACATTGAAACATACATCACAATTGTAAAAAATATTGGTTAGTGTTATATAAATTTCAAGTGACGACTGAAAACTGAATATAAAGAAATTGAATATAAACACGACACGCTTAGTTTACTGTGGACTTTGCATTTTGTCTTTTCAATTCACCTGTGGTTTGGGGTTATATGTTTAAGTGCACTTTTGGGTTTTTTAAGAGCAATACAGTAAATTTGCCTTTGTGTTTGTTCTGCATAAGTTTGTCATAGTTTGCAGCTGTGCTACTGCAGTTATTTAAAGGATGTTATATATCAAAATGATTTTATTGCACCAATATAACACCAAACCCTTTGACATACCGGGGTACTGACCTGGAACGACAAAATGCTAAGTCCACAGGAAACTAAGCGTGGGATCATTATATTCAATTTGTTAATTAGTTACTGTATTTTAGCTGGAATTAATTTTCGCTGAAAAGACTTTTTGAATGTTTTGAATGGAGTTTATTTTATCAGTGATTTTGGATGAGTTAAATGTAGAAATAAGTGTATATATGCTGGATTTTATTTTTACTGAATTATCCTTTAAGTGAAAATAGCAAATATAAATAACTAGTAAAAATAAAATATTTTACAGTATCAGAAAAAGAAGCAAAAATAAAAACCTTGTACGTAATAGAAACCGCACCCCGAACTTGAGCTTTTGATCCCAATTTTTAAATTGATACATTGTAATATAAACCGCGGTTTATAATAGGACTTTAACGGTACTGACCTGGAACGACAAAATGCTAAGTCCACAGGAAACTAAGCGTGGGATCATTATATTCAATTTGTTAATTAGTTACTGTATTTTAGCTGGAATTAATTTTCGCTGAAAAGACTTTTTGAATGTTTTGAATGGAGTTTATTTTATCAGTGATTTTGGATGAGTTAAATGTAGAAATAAGTGTATATATGCTGGATTTTATTTTTACTGAATTATCCTTTAAGTGAAAATAGCAAATATAAATAACTAGTAAAAATAAAATATTTTACAGTATCAGAAAAAGAAGCAAAAATAAAAACCTTATACAGTATTTTGTTTACCATCTTGTTGCCATGAGACCTGAAATGAAGTTTAATAATTTCACTCCACAAAAAATTGTACCACAAATGAAAAAATCAAGACGTATACTCTCAGCACAACAAACCCATTCTTTTTTCTATAGGATTATTTATAAATTTCAGTTCCAGTTGAATCCAAGCAGCCAATCATTGTGCATTGACAAAATTTATTAATATTATTATTATTTACTGTTTATTTTGTTCATTCTTTATAAAGGGTCATGAACTAGACTAGTTCTAGGGAACTATTTTCGTGATCCTCACTATAAACAATTTATATATTAAAATATCTAAAAATATATATATTTAAAATTCAAATTATAGACTTAATTACTTAATTTTATTTACTCATTTGTTTATATATCACATTTATTTGTATACTATATATACCGGTATATATATATATATATGTTTATAGTGAAATAAACTTTATTCATTCATTCATTTTGAAATGTTCCAATGTTATTCCATTGGCCAATAAAAAACCCTTGTTTCAGTTTGAATTATGAAAACTACTAATATTTAGGAAGACAAATGTGACTAGTAAACAAGCGATTTTATAAATTTAAAGGGCGGTGGTCATCGTGCCACGTCCTGTTTGATATGGGACTCATAGCTTAGTAAAATACATTATCCGTTCACTGCGAGATTCCGTGTTATGCATGAAATCAAACGTAAGAACAGGATAAACAAAGGTTGTAGTGATGAGAAACATCGTGTGGGATTTGACAAAACGGGAATAAATATTGGGGGGATATTTCCACGCTTAATAATGTGCTGTTCACATTTCGATGAAGTAGGGGTATTCAAACCCAATATTCCCCTGTCAAAGATTGTCCTATCGATGGGAGCAACAAATTATAGATATTTGAGTTCAAAATCAAATTGTTCGATTTTTGCGGCAGATGTTCAACACACATCTTTCACACAACTTGTGAGATATTGCAGTTGAACGGAAAATCACCTATTTTAACAAATACTTCGTGATGACCACCGCCTTTTAAATTCTTGATATTACCAGAGGTACATTACTTGGGGTTTGCAACGTGCATAGTACTGTATGGTGACATCATGCCAAGATCCCATTCAAGTCTCATCTCATAGATAGCGAGACTGATGCTACGACCTTCTGACATGACATAGGCGGTGTGTAATAAACACGTATTACCACATTCATAGTGAAAAAATGTAATACATCAAAAATCAACAGAAAAAATAGTTATCGTAATCCGTCATATTGGAGCAGCTATTTTGACCCACCTGGACATCCAAGTATCCTAGTTACCTCGGGCATGCGCATTCGCATTTTTCTGATTGGAACGCTTATGCGAGAGCGAGATTGAAACAGGATCTTGGTATCATGTCACTGTAGTTGCAAACCCCAAGTAATGTACCTCTGATATTACTTAATATAAAAACAAATTAATACATGTAAATGTTTTTGTTTTTGCTTGTAGTAATGGGAGTCGCTCAAACCCCAAGTGACAATCCAAATCAGGTAAACTTTCAGTCATTCATGATTTCTCATTTCATTTTTTTTCATTCATTTAAATAATCTCCATGAAGCAATGCACAACATAGAGCGAAAACTTTCCAAAGTTGCACATGTTACCTATGATGCAAAAAAAAAAAATTGTTCCAAAATTGCCCATTTCCCATGATGCACTGCAAAAATAGAGTGAATACCAAAGTCGCACGTTTCCCATGATGCAAGGTGCAAAAAAACAAACAAAAACATTTAAAAGTCACACACATTTTTACTTGAAACACTGTGATTATAGACTGGAAGTGTGAAGTCAATGAAGACAACGATACTTTTCCTGTTGAACAATAAAATTACTTTCATATCTATTATTTTTACTTCTAGCTATCTCTATCCATGGATCACAGCGACCAAGAAAATAACAAAACAACTTGTAATACAAATACAGTTGTTAAAAGAAAGAGAGGACGACCAAGAAAACACCCAATAAATGGAGAAAAAAAGAAAGGTAGACATACAAACCATTGTTTCAAGTTATTGTAACGAATAATATTCAGTCTATTGTTTATTTTTATAGCATTTTCACATTGCAGTTCACAGCTGCTGCATTTTTTACTTTTTTTAAATTTGACGTTAATTTTATCAGGTATTTCTTATACCCAAATTATAAGGCTATAATTATGAATTATTTTACACATAGTAGAGGCAAAATTGTTTGTATATTATATATTGGGTCAAAACTATTTATTTATCAAATCATGCAGAAAATAACCAGAGGAATAATACAAAGAAAGACATATTATGACCAACGAAATTAAAAATTCAAACAATTGAACCATGGTAATATCAATTCTATAGTGAGGGCGCCCTCACAATTATGAACAAAAACTTCAGACAACTGAACTTTTATTTTCCCATTCCTTTACAGTAAAAGTAGAAAGAAAAATATTATGGAAGTTCATTTTTCATCTTCTTGACACAAACTCGCTTGACGGCTGCCTGAGCTGGGTAGATCGGCAAAAAGGATTATTCAAGTTTACCAGCGGTGATGGCAAAGAAATGGTAGCCAGAAGATGGGGTAAAATTAAAGGCCACCATAAACCAATGACGTATCAGAAAATGGCGAGGGCTCTCCGAGATTACAGGAAAAAAAACATTATGGAGAAATGCAAAGGAAAATTGTATTACAAATTCCGCCCAGCGGCACTTGCGCAGTTCGGGAAGTGAGACACACAAGTACAAAGGAACAAGTACAACCTGAGGGTTGAATGCTAATATGGCTGCCTTTAGAGTGATTACAATTAGATGTTGTCGAGTCCATAGTATAACTGCTGTATTTCTACTATTGAATTTCATCACCATTTAATGAACACTCATAATTTTTGATCAATAATGTTTTGATAAATATGAGATAATTTGGTAAATGTTGTACGAGCCGCTGCAAGAACAGCGAGAAATTGCGATGAGGAGTGTTTGGCAAAACCGCACACTCACATCTATCAAATTCCAAAGCTTGCTGCCCACTGAGCTTTTCACCAACCAGTTCCCTCTTTTCATCAAAAATTCACAAAATAGTTCCATTTATAGTCTGCATCAGAAGACTGGGACTAGGACAAAAATAGTCAAAGTTTTTGAATAAAAACTAAAAATTGACTCATTTTTTGTCTGTTGGCTCCAAAATTAGGGTGCATTTCCAAAAATATTAAAGAATATAGGAAAAAATTGCAAAAGCATTTGGGTGAGAAAGTCTGGTGGTGAAAAAGTTAAACACAATAGTCAACTTTTTTGATATCAATTATTTTTGGATCAAGACTTTGTGGAAAATGAAGAATTTTTGCCTATTTTGTCCACAATTACAACACAAAATACAGAAAAATGTGCAAAATGTACCAAAATTTTAGTGGATGAAATTACGACACTTAAAGATTAAAAAATGCAAAATGGCGACAATTTGGAAACCAATTTGATGAAATCTTGTTTCAGAGAAAAATATTGATGATACCACAATTTTTTGTTTACAAGAATTGTTTTGCATGAAACGTGGTAGTATGCTCAATAAATGACATCAGTCTGTGTGTGCTTGAAAAACATATAGGGAAAACAGGTTGAATAACAACAATTATTCGTGTCGTTTAATGACTATAAAGAATAAAAGTTTATTACAAAGAAAAAGAGTAATATTTCTGTTGATTTTGAAAACCATTGGTGGCCATAGATGCAATAAACGTCTGCTGATATAATTGGATGTCATATCTAATTAGCATAAATTTCCAATTGCGGTTCCGTAAAATCATGATTTCTCTGTTTGGAGTTGGTCATGTGATAAAAGACTATCATTTGACATCACTTATTTGTAGAACTGGCTGATGCTTATGTTCTTAAAGGTTTTATTATCCACTTACTGCAATTCAGGAATAATACTAGACCATGATGCGACTCGTATCAACAAGCTTTACGAACAAGTGATGTCAGTTAATAACCTCATAATGTACGTTTCCATTCCTGATTCAAATTTGAAATACAACACATTTATTTTCAAACAATATACATATTCAAGGGCCTAAAGGAATACAATACAATATCTATATCATTATACATACATATTCAGGGGCCTATGGAATACAGTATATATCGAAATTCTGAAAAATTAAGATATCCTCGTTTACAAATTCTTTACCAATATATTGTGCTGCCAAATCAAAAATTTCATTACAAGGATTACAAGCAAATATCTGACAAATGTTCTCATTTTTTTATGATTTGTCCATTTCCATTCATCACTCCACATTATAGTGTGAGTCCCATGCAATGTACAATAGACATAAACTAGATTGTTTGTAACACATGTAAAATACAGGAAAGTTGAATGTATGGTGATTAAGACATTTTTAACATATCTTGCTTGGTTAGAGGAAAGAGATTTACTAGTAGTTAAATATCAGAAGAAACGTTTTTAACCTTTTTACCACCAATTCCCTCCTTCCTCACAAATTCATAAAATAGTCGCATTTATAGTCTGCACTTTCCTTCAGAAGATTGGGACAAAAATATCCACATTTTTTTTGAGTAAAAACTGAAAGTTGACTCAAATTTTGTCTGTTGGCTCCAAAATTAGGGTTCATTTCCAGAAATATTGAAGAATATAGAAAAAAAAGGAATTTGGGCGAGAAGGTCTGGTGGTGAAAAAGTTAAGGCATGACTCATAGTCCCAGGGTAGTACATTACTCTGAATTTCAAGGCATGAACAACTTAACTGAAGACATTTAATAATGTCATTACCATGAGTCAGTCAGTCATTGGCCAATTTACAGCCATGCATCCTGAACACGTGGTGATTGGTCTAGTGGTTTTAAACCATCATTTGAATTTTATAAAACATTTATAAATGTTTTTATAATTCATGCCTTATGAAATTCACAATAGTGAATGAAATGTATTTACAGTAGAGGTATTTATTTCAGTTGAATTCTTAAAAAGGATATGCTTGCCAGTAATGCAAACACGTTGCATGCTCAACCATTTTGACACCTACGTCAAATTTCACAAATCAAAATTTCCATTTTATTTTTCAAAAAAATTATCAACCATATAGAGAACATTGAATTTGGCACATTTGGTTCAAGGAATTATTGTTAAAATACATAAAATTTGGCAAAATTGTGGACCAAAAAGTGGATAGTTACAGTCGAACATGAGAACTCAAAAATAATCAATGAAGATTTTTGTAAAATAATTTTACACCATTGGTTAATTTGTAATCTACTGTCTCTGGAATTGTAACATAGACAACTAAAATATAGAAACCTCTCAGGACTAATAAAGACAAAATTCAGGAAACATGAGTAATGTAAATTTTAAATTAGAAAATACCGGTAAAATGTAATATAAGGTTAATTTTTTTACCAAAATTTTTTACAAAAATCTAGTTTTATAATTGTAAGACATTTTTGTCATCAAAATAATTGTAAATAATTTGATTAAGTTACAAACAATTTCAGTCACACTTTTTAAATAAAAAGTAACAAAATCTTGTTTATTTTTAAGCAGAATAAAGTGAGAAACAGTATCATGGGTCTGAGTCTGTTATTGGTGCTATGGTAACCATCAAGAAAACACAACAACTAGTAAAAGTATGTTACTGTTGTTATTGTAACCAACAAAACTACACTATGTTGCTATGGTAACTACCAAGAAAGTGTCAAGTCTGACATTCTGTGCGTTGTGTCTTTTCATCGAATAAAATTATAAAAATGCAGTTTTCAACGTCTTTTTACTGTTAAATTTGTCAACTCTATTCAAACTTATGTTGTCTATATTTACACATCACTGGAAAACATCAACACATCAACTCATCAGAATATTGGTTTATCAATAAATCAAACCTCCAAACATACCTGTAATGTTAGAAATACAACTCTTACTACTCTCCTTCAACCAAGAATCCAAAATGGAAACTATTTGCTCAATATAAAATGTTATTTTATATATTGTTTTATTCAACATCCTATTTTATAACATGTCAGTTCAGATATGGAATCAAGTTCAGATCATTCCCATTCATTGTTCTGTCCACTTGCAACCCGTAAACTTAAAGCGAGAGGGTCGTCATCTGCACACTCGCGGGAATTGAGTCCCAAGCGACGATAACAACACATGTGAAAAACGCAAAGACTCATGAGTAGACACTTGTTTGTAAATAATGACACGCTATGACCATTTGACGAATGCACAAGTAACGACTCCCCCGCTTTAATATGCAAATTTTATTATATATTAATATGCAGTGATCTTATTTTTTCATGTTTTCCAGCGAATAAAACTTGTTCTAAGTTATAATAAGATTAAACCTTGTCACTCACTCAAATATTTCAACATATTTTGGACAGTCCCTAACAAGTTAATACCTGATAAAAAAAAA